GGGGGGGGGGGGGGGGGCAGTGTTAAGGTTTTGCAGTTTTCCATTTGTTAAAAAAAAAGTGTTCCCTGGTTTGTAGAGATTATGAAAGGCAAGGGAAGAGCATTTCTGAGTATGTGCTTTTCAATAGAAAGATTTGGCAGTATTAAATAACATGATGTCCTGTATCAACCCTTGTCATTGTTTGAATGATATAATTATTGCATGTGTTCTATTTAAAGGTGAGCTGGTTCGTTTTTATGAGTTATCTCCGATTTTGACATTTGTAGGCACAGGAATATATCTTTAAATATATAGTTCAGTCTCGAAGGTTATTCTCTATTGCCACTGGTGGACAAAATGAGGAGGAATTTCGCTGCTGTATTCAAGAGCTTCTTATGTCAGTACGCTTCTTCCTTTCCCAAGAGAGCAAAGGAGCTAGTGCTTTATCCCAACTACAAGTAAGTTTTCAAGCATGTCTTACTGCCACTTTCAATCTCCAATATAGAAAATGTATGTGTGTCCTTACCTATATTCCCAGGAAACAAAAAGTGTTTTTGCTAGAGCAAAATGGCATTTTCAGGTCATCCTCATACCTTTCGTCCTGTAGTGTGAAATTTTCATACCAGCAGCTTCTAAATATGCTTGGCAAAGATAATCCCAAATCTAATATTTAATTTTGGACTATCATTATATTATAATTATTATATTGCTGGATACCAATAAAGTAATTTCACTGTTTGGGGCATTTTACAGCTTAGTGTAACCACATTGGAACTGAAGAATTTGAGCCATACAAAAGACTATCAGAGTTTTTATGCTTTACAGAAAACTTTTAAGTCTTGCTGAACTGTATATTTTAATACTCAGCTGGTATCTTTATTTCAATTGAGACTACTAAAATTGACTAGTGCTAAAGCGCAGAGGCAAAACACACAGGAGACAGCTCTCTACATTAAGTGCCATAGATTTACCAACTTCTACAGCTCATAGATATACATAACCAACGGTGTTTAAGACCTGTTAAGAATTATTAATTTCTTAAGCTCTGTAGAAGATTGTTCTTCCAAGAAAATGGCAAATCGGAACAGAGTAGAGAGGTGGTTCTTCCATCTCATGTAAGCAGGTGGAGTAAAAAGATAATAGCAAAACGACATAAACACATTTGGAATTCCTCTTCAGTATCTTTAACCTTGTATATCATCTGTTCTGACACCAGTGTGAAGAAGATATGAGTAGCTTTTCTCAATCAGGAGGATTTGGAGAGGAAGAAGGGAATGTCAGTTCTTGCTTCCTGTCTCTGGCATTGCCTTCCTTTCTTTTCCAGTGTTTTGTTTCCATATTCGCTGTACTCACCAATGAATTTCTAAATGTATTTTAGGATTGTGGAAGTGAACCAAGACTGCCAGTGCTGTCTCACTCTACAATAAAAATGTTCGTTATTTGAAAAACAGAAGATACGGAGGCTGTTACATTACTTATGTTAAAACAAAGCAAACCAAAACAAATCCACTCAAATCTTTCTTCTGATTTCAGCTGGCTTCTGTTATACTTTTAAAATTTTCCTCTCACTCATAGATCATGAAGAATCTGTAAAGTATAAATATTTTTATTCTAAGTTGAACTTTTTACTTTCACTTTGTCCTGGGAGAAATGAATAGTCATTAGATAATGCTTAAAGTAAAACAGTCACAAGTGTAAGTGAATGGGAAGATATTTCTTCTGAAAATATGACCATTTTTAAAGCTACTAACTACCCCTGAAATGTAAAACCAGGCTTTTTTCTACAGTTGCTTGAATTTCTATACTTATTTAAATTCTATAAATGTCAAAACTATACTGCAATATCTAACTGTCCATTTTTGCCCTTTTCCTCTAGGCTGTATTTCTCAGCTCATTTCCATCGGTGTACTCTGAACTTTTGAAGCTCTTTGATGTAAGAGAAGTGGCAAATTTGGTTCACGATGCTCTGGGCAGTCTGCCAACAGTCATGCATGGGGATGAGTCCCTTCAAGCTGTTAAACTGCAGAGTATTGGAAAAACTGTAGAGAGTCACCTGTACACTAACCCAGGTAAGGTTACCCTGGGCTGCCTGCAAATAAGGAACTCAAATTGTGTGGTTGGTATAAGGGCCAGCAGGTGTTGAAGGGAACGGTGTTGCTCGGAGTAGTGCTTCCTAAGGAGCAATTCTGGAAGCACTGCTCTGTACAAGCTGCTCATTTACAAGAATACAGTTGGTTAAATTTAGTGGTTTGTTTCTTTGGAGGCAAAGACTCTTAAAATATAGTTTTGTTTTGATCTACTGCTGGCAATATGTCTGTGAAGGAAGTTTGCCTTATACTTTTTAAGTGATTATAAAGGAAAAACTAAATTGATTTTTTTTTTTTCTTTATTTCTCCTTTGGGGGCAGTTGAGCAAACAGATTTTCACTTATCCATTAAGTCTTATTTGTGTAACACTTCCTAGTTCAGCACTTTCAATCCTCCATTTCTTAATGTAGCATAAAAATGCTGTACAAATGCAAGTGATAGTTGGTGCATGAAGTATAGAACAGCATAATTATTTGCTATGTGGAAGAAGCTGTGTGGTGGTGAGCCTGACATTTTTATTTTCTATTCTAAGTGAAGCCCATAGAAGTGACCAAATATTAAATTTAGGATGAACTAATTTTAAAATAAAAGAATGAAAATAGAAGAGATTTAAGGAATTCTAATAAGTATTAATTACTCACCAAAAGCCCTCTTGAGAGCTGTTTGGGTATTGGCTGATGATGTTCAGTAGAAACAGTAACTTCTACCTTCTAAGACATTCAAGATAAACACATTACAATGATGAAGGCTCTGCAAAAACCACCAGGATATGCATAAATATTTTGACATGCTGCAAAATAAAAGAAGGTATCTTAGAAAATCTTTGTTTTTAAATGCTTTCGGTGATTGTACTTTAAAAGTATGAGCTCAAAAAAATGGGTAAGAAGTATTGGGTCCTGGCTACTTTACTTCATTCTGGTTGTGAAATCAGCTTACCCTTTCCCTTGTGAGCCTTCATGGCAGTCCCTTCCAAAACAGTTAGCTCTCCCTGCAGCTGATTGATCAGACCTTTGATACCCTGAGTAGATGATGACATATTCATGGAGCAATCTTAAGGACGCTCTAACTTATGTTTTTTATTTTCCAAACTACTTAGGGACCAGGTAGCATCATTTCCATTTTCCTCCCATTATCTCAGTTAGGTCAGCCTAACCAGAAGATCCAAATGAATGAATGTAATTAGAGTTATTTAATGCCATGTAAGGGACTCTTGGGGACTTTCTTGGAACTGTAAATCTGCTTTCAGCTGTATGACAATTTCTTTCGTTTGTTTCCTTTTGTAAAAGTGTTAGTTTTTTATTCAAATCCAGTTTCGTTATTAAGAAGTCATGTGAGTTGGTTTGGCTATAAAAGCAATGAGAATTACATGTTAAATTTTACATGGAGTGCGGGTTATACACAAATAGAATATAAATTTTTTAGACCACAGGGAAACTGATGTGAAAGACATTAGGCATAATATAAGCTCCCGATGTCCATGATAGGAAGCTCAGGCAAACACTTGTACAGTATAATTTTAGTCATCATTAAGTTGAAGGGTCACGGGGAGATCGGCATCTTGGTCTCTTTGCCCTTAATGTTTTATCTCTTCAAAATACAAAAATATAAGTAGGCTTTTGCTCAGTCAATCCCTAGAAGGAAGTCCTTTTAAAATCCTCTTGGGAAAATAAATATTGCACTAGACTATGTTAATGTCCAGAGTAAACTGTACATCTTAATGTGAAGTTGAGGCTTGCTGCTGTGAAAATAATTGATTTCTCCCCCAGATGAAGATGATGAACGCTGCAAGCTGTGGCGCTAGCTAACACATTGTAACTAGTTGGAATGCAGGAAGTAACTACTTATTCAAATGTCTAAAAATGAGGAGGGCACTTCTTAGATAACATTTTCTGTTATCTGGAGCTTGCTTGGAAACAAGCGAGAGTAGTTTAGCATGGAAGTTTTGCGCATTTTGTGCTTTAAGGGCCTGAACGTCTAACATGTTAGCTCCCACTGCTGCAGAAATCAACTGCACTAAAGCTATGCTTTCGCTAAAATTGGGAGATATATTTCATATGTTGTTGAAAATGGAAACATCAGACATGCGGGGATTGATTTAAGGTGCCCAAGCATGGATGTTTAGTACAATTTCAGATGTATTTGATGTATCTGGTCTCCACCTGCCTCTCTAGGGAATGCAGGTTATATATTGTAGTTACTGATCATGTGTGGATAGGATGTCTGAAATGGCTCTGCATTGAGGCTTTCATATAGCTTGCATACAACCTTTTTCTATTTCAGTGATTTTAAACTTCAGCTCTTCCAATAGGTAACAACTACAGAGATGTTAAAAGGTGTCAACAGCAGTTATCTGCCTAGCTCCTGTGAAAAGTTTGTGTGTGTTAAGGCCTTACTTCTGTTTTTCTATATTGACTTCTGCATCTCTGTAGTACACTACATTGGGTGTCTAAAAAGAAACAGATAACAGCTTTCC